TGCGGTACCAGAACCTAATGTTCAATAGGGCATTTTAGTGATTTGAAGTAATTTGATCTAATTGTAGCTATCAAGATAATGTTTTCTTTTATTATGAGCTACTGACACTTGCTTTCTTTAAAATTCTTTTGTTCAAAGTTTGGATCATGAAATGATGAGATATTATTCAGCGATTCGCCACATGTTTTATTTGTGGTGATTTATTGCAATAAACTCCATTATTATTTATTCTAGAATTGAAACTAAATTTCTTTAAATTTATTGTGTTCTAGTTCTGGAATTGGGAAAAGGGAAGCATAAATTAATTATTTAAAGTTATTGGACTCACTCGAGACAATTTTCTATTCTACCCTTCACTATTAGTAATTCCAAAATTTGAGCATCAACATTCCAAAAATTAATTTATTCTAGGCATGAAATTTGAAATAGGGGATTTTATTTAAACAATAATTTGATTTTATTGAGGCAGTTTACAATAACACCCTCCATAATTTTCGATTCTTTGCTTAAAACAAGGAAAAATCCTTAAATTTGTTATGTAGATAAGGAATCCAAAAAAAGAGTGTATTTCATAATCCCGACTACTTGATTCAATAACGGCAATTTACTCAAGTGCTCCCATGTTTGTTTCCAGGCTAAAAAAAATGAAATTTAATTTCCTTGATCTCTTGTTTCAGCTTTGGATCCCAAAGTTTGTGAGCGTATTTAGTAATTTGCAATTATTTGATCTGACCGTGGCAATGACAAAAATTCCCTCCTTTTATGAGTTCTTGACCTATAAACAACTACTGTGTTAAATTTCATGTGTTTTGAGATTAGAACCCGAAAGACGACATAGTATTTATTGATTTGCCACTTGTTCCACTCGAGAATGACTTAGTGATAACTACTATTCGCTCGTTCCAATTCTAAACTGGGTAAAACTTGATTGCCTTGATCTCTTGCTGCAGTTTCAGAACCCAATGTTCGATAGGACATTTTAGTAGTTTGTAGTAAGTTGGTCGTATGGTGGCTATGACAATAATATCTTCTTTCATTATAGGCTACTGCCAACTACCTTAATTAAAATTCTTGCATTTTGAGTTGCAATCCCGAAACATTAAGATACTATTTAGCTATTTGCCGCATATTCCGTTTTCGGTGATTTACTACAATATTATTATTGATTCAAGAGTTGGATAACTTAAATTTCTTGAATTTGTCGTGTTGTAGTTGTGGAATTGGGAAAAGATTAGTTTTACTTAACAATTACCCACTACTTGATCTGCTCGAGTCAATTTACAATATTACCCTCTATTATATTCCAAAATTAGAACATTTAAAATTCTTGAAAAAATTTATTCTGGACAAGAAATCCCAAATAAGAAAATGTAACTAATAATCTGCGATAACTTGATCTGCTTGAGGCAATTTATAATAATACCCTCCATAATTTTTCGTTTCCATAGTTAAAACAAGGGAAAATCCTTAAAACAACTATATTATTGATCATGAATCTATAAAAAAGAGTGTATTTCATAATCCATATTACTTGATGCAATCAAAGTAATTTACTAAAGTACCCCCATGATTTGTCTTTAGGCCAAAAACATGAAACCTAATTGCCTTGACTTCATGTTTCGGTTTTGGAACCCAAAGTTAGAGAGGTTATTTAGTAATTTACAATAATTTGATCTGATCATGGACATGACAAAAATTCCCCCTTTCTTATTGCTTCTTTAAATTTCTAGTCTTTTGAGAGTCGGACCCAAAACATGACATAGTATTTACCGATTTGCCCCTTGCTCCACTTGAGAATACCTATAGCTCTACTTCCACCCTGGAGGCCGAGAGATGGAGGAGAACTACAATCACTTTTTGGAGGAATTAGAAAGGGGGAGGGGAACCAGAGAGATCAACCTACGTTTAGGCTACCAATGGCACGGAACGACCTAATCCGTGACCGACAAGCTTTCCGAAGAACTGAATTGTTACTTTCCAAAAATAACTAACATTCATTATTTCCAATTCCACACTAGGTAAAGCTTTATTGCCTTGATCTCGTGTTGTAGTTTCAGAACCCAAAGTTCGATAGGGCATTTTAGTAATTTGCAGTAATTTGATATGATTGTGGTCATGACAGTAATGTGGTCTTTTACTATGAACTACTGACACTCGCTTTCTATAAAATTCTTGCATTAAGAGTTTGGATCCTAAAACATTGAGACATTATTTAGCGATTTGTCACATGTTCCGTTTGTAGTGATTTACTACAATAAACTCCATAATTATTGATTTCAGAATTGGATACTAAAGTTCCTTAAAATTGTCGTGTACTTGTTGTGGAATTGGGAAAAGGGAAATATAATTCAATAATATGCGGTTACTGGAACCGCTCAAGGCAATTGCCATACTACCCTCCATTATTCCTAATTCAAAAATTAAAATATCTAAAATCCCTAAAGGTATGTTTGATAAAACTAAATTTTAAAATTTAGATTTTTAAAAATTTGAATAAAGGTATTTCTAGGTTTTCCATATATTAAGATTATCTATTATCCATAATCTATTTTTTTTTATGCATGTTTGACTGTCCCGCATATATTTGAAAGAGAGACAATGATTTTTTATCTCTAGGTTAACTAATCTTAGTCTTTGACAATGGGGATTTAAATGGTCATTAAAATGGGTCGTGCTAAAGCTTGAAATCATCAAAGACACTATAATGTTGTTATTGAAAAAGTTTGACATATGGGTCACTTTACTTTCCATCCGCCATTAAAGCTCAGAGCTTAAGCTTCAACAAAGATAGAAGAACATATGACCTATTGTTTACAGAGAAAAGTGGGGTAGGCAGCTACAACGGCCATTGCATGCAGCTAGTTATTATTTGAACACAGTTTTTTTTATGTTGACAATGATATACACACAAATGATTGGATTTCATAATTGTGTAGATGTGTTAGTCCCTTATCTTGATATCCATGATATTATATTCGCTGATGAGCCGATAAATTATAAATGCTCATTAAAGGCTTTTGGGAGTCCAATGGCGATGAGGCAAATGATCAAAATTGATCCAAGTACTGTAGTAATAATATTATTAAGTTCAAGTTCAAGTAATCAAGATTCATTTTTATAGTTCTATTATTTATTTATGATTTTATTCTATATATTTGTAACCAATTGGTGGAGCCAACAAGGCTGTAGTTCTCCAAATTTACAAAAGTTGGTCATTCAGATCTTAAACTTAACCACTTCTTTATCCGGTTGTAAGTGCAATTTGAGTACTTTTGATGGGGTAATGTCGTAAGGGTAATTTATATAATTGTATTAGTAATACATGAACTATAGCTTTTAATTAGTTTCATTTGATTTTGTTAAATTCATACAAAGAGAAGGAACATGCTTAGATCAAACAGGCTTCATGATTTAGCCTATGTCAAGTATAATAGATTCTTGAAGGATATGTTTGTTAAGAGAGATAAGAGAGACATATCAGATCAAAAAATATTGTCAATGCGATGGAGTGGTTAGTTGATGATGATGAGGTCAATGTGCATAAATGATTGACATGAGACATGATCATAGATGCTTCAGGGACATTAGCTGAACCTCCCAGGGCCACTAGATCTTCTGCATAGAGAATGAGGGTGAAGGAGGAAGATGAGGAAGAAGAGGCATATTCAGAAGAGACGGAGGAGGACGACCAATATGTCAAGGAGGGTGACGACTCCAATGAATATGATGCTAATGCAGCTGACCCTAATTTTTCTGATGATGAATGATGAATGTTGAATAATTATTAAACTTTAAACTTTTACTGAACTATGAATGGTAACTTTTAAGTTTTAATTGGATATGGATTATGGACCAACATATGGTTATGTTTATGGAGGGTGTGCTAATATGTAGTATAATTTTAATTATGATGTGCCTTAAATATCTAATTCTTATATTTTATACAATATATAACTATAGAATCCTTTTTGGATTCAACTAGGCCATCTGGGTACCCGCTTAGGCATTGGGTGGCCTGGACCCTCAGGCCGCCTAGGACCCGCCTAGAACTTTTTGAAAGTATTGTATTTACTGATTTGCCACTTGTTCCGCTCAAGAATGACTTACAACCATAACCTCCATTATTCTTGATTCCATAACTGGAATAACTAACAGTCCTTAAATTTGTCGTGTTTTGGACGTGAAATCGGGAAAAAGGGAAGTCATCGATTTACAGTTAATTGATCCGTTAAAGGCGCCCCTCCGTCATTCTTGATTCCAAACTTAGAACATCTAAAATTGTTTAAATTGTCGTATCTTGGGCACGAGATCCAAAATAAGGGAGAGTAATTTAATAACTAATGTTACTTGATCCGCTCGAGGCAATTTACAATAATAGCTTCTATAAATCTTGTTCTGGACTTTAAAAAATTGAAATTCTTTAAAACTATCATATTTTGGGTACATAATCCAAAAATAGATTATATTTAATAATCTCGATTACCAATCTGATCAAGAAAAATGGTAAAATGCACCGATATTTTTGGTTTCAGACAGAAAACTGATTTTTTTAAAAATTGAGTTATTCTGTGTGAATTAGAATGTTTTATAAAAAGATAAACAAGAGACAATTACTTAGATATATTCGTATGTACATATCGATTTTCAACAAACAAAATAGCGATTTAACTATTTTATTTTCGTAGACACAGTTTTGTATTTTCGAAACTTCTATATCTTCATCCTGCATTCTCCCCAACCTCGGAAGAACCATATTTCAAACAGGTCACATGGTAAATAGACTAAGAAACATCAAATTGGGAAATATTAGCAATATATACACAAAAAAATCACTTTTTAATTAGTTAAAACACCAAAAAAGCCGAAAATAAAAACCAAAACAAAATTCAAAACTACACCGGATTTCAAAGCTTTCCCTGAATTACATTCCATAGACCCAGCGGAATCCGGGCGGATCTGTGGATTCTCTCAAAAACGCCTCAATAAATCGAATTCTCTCATTTTTTCTCTCTAAAACAGTCACTCTCCCTCATTTTCCTCTTTATTCTCTCTCCTTCCATCCCCTTTTCTCCCTCCGTTCCCCATTCATTGTATTTCATTAAAATGCCAGAGAAAAATCCCTGCATATGAGGAGGAAAAACGCTATAAAAGTTTACCTTGCATTGCTTTCTTCCTCACCTTTGTCTCATCATTTTTTAGGGTTCTTTCGATTTCCTTTTCCTAGGGTTTCTGCAGTGGTTGTTCCTCCTTATTGCCGTAGAAGTGTCGCAGGCTGTTTGTGCTAGGCTTTTAGGGTTTTTTTCAAAGGTTTGTTTGGCTTCTGAGGTGTTCGGTGAAATGGTTGTTGATTCTTTTTAGGGGAGCTTGGAGATTTAGGGTTTTGTTGAGTAGAGATGACAACTACAGAGCACGAGTTGGAGGAGCAGCTTCTCGAGGCCGGGAAGAAGCTTGAGAAGCTTCCTTCTGATCCTTCTGAGCTCCTCCCACTTTTGGAGGTAAGGCTTTTGTGTTTCATGGTTTATGTTTGTTTTGCTGGCTTTGGATATTGGAAATAGCTAAATCTAGGTGTATTTTCTGTGTTTCTTGTTTCTAGCTGGAATGAACTCTATTATGTATGTCTCAGGTTCCCTTTATATGATTCTATCTGTGTTTTTCATTTCTATGTTTCATTGTGTGTGTTCGTCTTCTATTTGTATGCAAAAGACCCATTTAAATGCATAATGTGTCCTTTCGATGTTTCTCTTTGTGCTTTTAGTTTTCATTGTTCATTTGCTCCGAATTATGTTACTGCATGGCATGCGAATCCCCCTCCATCTCTCTATCTTCCCCTATACATATCATTTGCATGCAAACATATTTGTTTGAATGGAATCGTTTACCAGTGATGACATTCATCAGGGAATTTTGATTTCCTTTAACGTTTTCTATCTTCAGTTTGAAACATTTAGTCGGATGCGGTTGATTTTATTGATTATATGTCTTAGGATTTTCTTGGTATGAGCATCTTCAGTAAATGGGTTGCATGGTACATCTGTTATTGAGTTCCCTTTATGTGTAAATATTGCTCCTTTTGTTTAGCCTGTTTACATTTAAAAGCCTGCAAGTTTGTTATAATGGAAGATGCAGGAGATTGTTTATTAAGGGTTTAACATGTTATATTGTGGTGCATGTCTTTTAATCTGGGTATGCATCTCCAAAGTGAGCAGTAGCTTGATGGAATGCTTCATTAGCTTTAGCCTATTGCTTATATTAATTTCAAAGATAAATCCAATTATATGTTATGCATACATATGGTAAATACATCCAATGATGTGTAAGTTTGAGGCTTAATTGCAACAGTGCCGTGAACTGCATTAGATTCTTAAATGGACTACCTTTACTGGTTAAGGATAATGATAAGGATGCTGATTGTACCCCTTGTAGTGCCTGAGGAACTAGAGACAGGGATCCCATATGGTTGTCTCCTTTTTCTTAGTGTGAGCCTTGATACCACTTGTCAATGTTGGGAACAATGCATTTGATTATCATGCAAGAAAGAGTTCTTTGCGGCCCCCTAGTGTAGCAATTTGCAACATCAAAGCCCTCTTAAACTTGTCTGTGCTATGCAAAGCAAAAGTTTGAGAATGCTTTGCATAACGAGCAAAGGACTCTTGAACTTTTTGTTTGCTCGCTGCGAAGCCCTAATGTTGCATGCTTTGATGCTTGAATAGCTTCTAAAGTGCAATTCCTGATCCTATTACTTTCATATGCAGTAGTTATTCATATCCTATAGATTAGAATATACAATGGAAAAGGGTTTCCAATGATGGTATATTATGAAGGATTGAAGGAAGGGATGATCAAGGGTTCAACTCACCGCTCCTCCACCCCTTCCTCCCGCCCGCCCGCCCCCCCTGCAGACGCACCTTGAGGGCTGCATTACCTGCTCTAATTCTTCTCTGGTGTACTGTATGGGCCTTTCTTTTCTGTTGAGGTTGGGTTTGCAGGCCCAGTCCAAGCATGTTATTACGATAGATTTAATAGATTCTCTAATACTTAATAAGGATTCTGCTGGGTTCCCTCGTTTGTTCTTGTGAGATATGGTTTGAACCATCTGTTAGGTGGGGCTGAAGTTTTACAACACTTCTGAAACTGGTTGAATCAGCTTTTTCTTCATGTTAACTCGGTGAAAAGGAAAAAATAAAACTGTACTTGTTGATATTGATCCAATTAGGAAAATGGAACTTGTTGATTCATTTGTGTTTCATGCCTGGTGTATAGACAGTTTGGCAGGCATATCATAAATACATTGTTTTAAATTTATGTATTTTTGTTATTGGTTTCATTAACTTGCTGATCATCTTTTGCAGAAAGTAGAGTTTTGTCTGTCAAGGGCAGAACAGTCTCCTTCTAAGTCTATGTCAGATGCGCTCGTTCCATCAACAAATGCATTGGTTACTTCAGAGCTTTTGAAACATCCAGACAAAACTATTAGAGTTGTTGTTGCCTCGTGTATCAGTGAGATCACAAGAATAACAGCCCCAGAAGCTCCTTATGGAGACGACTTGATGAAGGTCACTTGACTTGCTCTTTTTGTATTATTAAAATCTTATATATGGTTGTTGTTTTGTGAGGCTTTTATTTTGGGCTTTCAGATGCCCCTGAGTTTTTGATTGGGGATTACAATCTTGATTTATTTATTTGTTGCAGGAGGTCTTCCAGATGATTGTTGCATCATTTGAAGATCTCTCTGATAAGTCCTCTCCATCATTTAATAGGCGGGTTTCAATTCTTGAAACTTTAGCGAAGGTTAGGTCATGTGTTGTGATGCTGGACCTTGAATGTGATGCCCTGATTGTTGAGATGTTTCAGCATTTCCTGGAAACCATAAGGTGGCATCTATTACCTTTTTCTTTGTTACTCTATGTTCTTTGTTTTCCTTTCTCAGTTATGAATTTTATTCTGTAGTGTGTTGGTATGGCCTTTCCTTTCTCAGTTATGGTTTTAAAATGATTTGTCCTTCTAACTTTTGTGTCTACTATATATTTGCTTCGATATCATTGGGTATGTTTTTATATATTTTTGTATCTTAGGCTGCTCTTTCAAGTATGTTATTGATTTCAGCTCTAACAATGTCAAAGACAAAAATATAGAAAAATGTGTATACCTAATTGCTTAAAACTTGAGTTGGGGAAACTCCTCCTGAAGTCCACCATATACCTTTCTCATGTTGATTTTATGATGTTGTTATTCCCAAGTACCGTCCTCTTGATTCCATCGAGATTCCTGATCTAGATGAACAGTTTTTTGTTGTGAACTAGTGGTTTACAAAGGCATCCTTTCTCATCCTTGGAAGTTTTTTTCCTGATCATTATTCTTTGAAAATTAAGTTTCTGCACTCGTCCATTTCCCTCACTTTGCTTATGGAAAACTACATCCTTCACTGTTCTCTCATTTATATTCCAGAAGCCATTCATCAAATTTTATAAACTTGGTTTTGAGATACATCTTGCCTCCCCAAAATCTCTTCTCATTTCTCCCCCAAGTCATGAATAAATGTCCTTGTTCGGCATTTGCTGTCAAGCCTGTGATGACTCACTACAGAACGAATGTCCACTATGTTGGCGGCTTTGATGTGCTATCTGTGAATCAAGAGTACATTCTGTGTGGAATTTGAGAGCTTTAAATTTTCTTAAAGATGAATATGGATATTCTGAGCTTTCTTGTTGCTGAGTGGTTTCGGTTTGGAATTAGTTTGCAACAGTTATGTACAATCACAAGTACTTATTTTGGTTTATATTCTCTGCATTCTTTTATTTGTTCTCTTTTTCTTTTGACCGTATGATACTTATTTCTTTGTCAATCTAAGATGATAACTCAAATTTTTTTTGATCCAAACTGATATTTGTTTGTTGGAAGGATTATCTGAATTTTTATTGTCAATACCATTAAATGCAATAGACATGTTTGTGTTGGATCTCATTATTACTAACAGAGATGGAGGCTTTTAGTTAAGTTTGTAAGGTTGCAATGTAAATGGCGTGAGACCTGAAGAATTGACACGGAAATGAAAAATAAAAAAGGGGAATCATAGGTTTATAGGAAGGATGCTCTTGGTCACCTCCCGTGTTGGATTGTGATTCTCCATAAAAGACACCTTGTACTGTTTGTTTGTACAATACGAGAGCACAATTTCCATCTCTACCCTCCAACAACTGCTGCACAGGACCTTCTGTAGGAAGGATGGTGGCAGTATCATCTCTAGGGAGAACGTACTATATGCTCCCAATAAGAAATCAAGAGGGTAAGTTAATGGAGGGAAAGTAATCCTCAGAGTAGAGAGAATTCTCCCTGATATCCCTCCCTGGTGAGGGAACCCTCTTTGCTATTTGCCTTTAAGCACGTGGGCATAGGGGTCTCTTCAATGATGCTTGGCAAACTTCAGTGATTTGTGTCTTTGCACTTGCATATCTAATGACATGAGGATAATCATCCTTTACGATTGGTGGGGTCAGATAAAAGTGGAAGAAAATCTTTTGGATGGTTAGGAGAGTTCCACTTTTACCTTTGTTTTCCCATATAAATCTACATGCCTGGGTTGGGTTTGTTTGTTCAGGAGTTTCTATTTCAATATTCTGTGTTTTATGTGCATAGTGGGCTTTTTTTAGTATTATTGGCTTATTATATTTTGATTTCAGGGAGGACCATCCAGAAAACGTGTTCACATCCATGGCGACGGTTATGACGCTTGTGTTGGAGGAGAGTGAAGACATCTCTTTTGAACTAATATCTGCTCTTCTAAATTGTCTTATGAAGATAAAACAGGTAAATTACTTGCTCTTTCTTGTTGTATTGTTACTTTCTTAGTTAGATTTGCAACTAATCTTTCCTAATTTTGTTTTGTTTCAGAATGCTTCATCTTTTGCATCCAAGTTGGCAAAGAAAGTTATCAGTAACTGTCGTGGTAAGCTTGATCCATACATGGATAAGGCATTGGAGGAATTGGGTATCTCATCTGCTGAGTTCACCGAAGTTATGGAGCAACCATCTAAAGTTCCAAATTCCTCTGATCAGAATTTGGTATGGATCGCTTTCTTATTTCACTATAATAAGAAAATCACTCTTTTGGCATTTGCTAGCAACCCAATGTTGCACTTGTCTGTTTCCTGCGAATAATAGAAACCAATATTTAGGCATTTCTGAAATTCGAGAAGCTCCTCTCTCGCATCTGGATGAGTGTTTTGTTTCTGAAACTGGATATTCATGACTTCCTTATTTGGTTGGCTTTTTACTTGTTGTGGATCAGTAGAAGTACGGTGGTTCCGATGTTAATTTAGAAACTTAGATATTGTGATTACTTCTATTTCTTGGCATGACTTATTTCATACTAATGGAAACTCCACTAAATTGAGTTAAGAGAGATATTTATGTGAGAATGTTTGTAGTATCAACTAGTTCATCTTGTGACGTTTGACTATTATAAATTCAATCATGTTATGTCCAAGGAACCTTCATGATTTTGAGATGATAATGGCACATGATATTAAAGAAGGAAAAATACAATATCAGCCATTCCCATTATGCTCAAGGAACTTGGTAGAAAGTTGTGGGGCTATCTGCAGCCACCTTTGGAATATACTGAAGGGTTATTGCCTGTCTTCCTAGCACTATGTTTGTCAGGGGTGCTGACAGGAAGAGATGCAGAACAATACTAGGTTTTAAAGGATGCAGATTTGATTGTGATGGATGTCTAAGTTACAAAATGTTGGGGATTACCCAATGCTACTCGTGCTACTTCTATTCTCGTTTGCTCATTTTTTAGTGAGAAATGTCTGGTCTTTCCTCATGCTGGAGCTTAAGGAGCTTGGTTTGTGAAGCTTTACCTCTGCTGAAGAATTTTCCTCATATTCTGGGACCTTGATAATCCAGCTATGTGGTTTCTTGATGGAATTCATTACTGATATTTCCCATGTAATTAACTTGGTATTTACAGTTATTGAGAAACAATGGTAATTGATGGCAATATTGCATACACACTCGTAAAAAAGTGGCACCTTCAAATTCTGACATTTTGAAGGACACATTACAGATCTATTATGTTTAGTAGTTTAGGTAGTTGAGTTATGATCATCCACCTTTTTTTCCTGGTAAATAAAATATCAGCATACTTCCAAATTTAGGAAGGGTGTTCAAGAGCGATGTGATACAAATTTCTTTTTAGCTGCTACTGAAAATTCCTACATCCTTTTGGGTTGTATTTGAGAATAAGAGCTGCTTTTATTTTGGGTGTACTTAGAATGTCCTGCAACTAGAGAGTTTTTGCACCTTGCTTTGGTTCAAGATTGTTTTCATCAGTGCTTTGTTTTTGCCACATTGGTTCATCGTTTATGAGAGCATTTGATTACCTTTTTTCAGAATTCACCACTTCAGTACTTATAGTTTACCTCTTTTTATGAGATTTTTGTTTGGAGACCTCGTTCTTGTTTATGGATGCTCTGTTGATGTACAGCTTTATCAGTTTCTTGGTGTGCACGTTTTTTTGCTTTCAGTGATGCCCTTATGGAACATGTGGCCACTGTATGATTATGTAATAGAGCCTATATGTGATTTTTGATGTTATAAAACTAAATTTTCTTGGTCATTGGACTGGTATTTACTGCAGACAGATGAGTGCAAGAAATCGGAATCTAGCGGTACGCTAGAGCCGCCTCCGGCACCTCACCCAGTAAGTCCTAAAGAAAATTTCTTTTGCACTTCTACTGAAGCTTCAGATTTCTCATCGTAATGATTTTTGTTTTTCTTTTTGAGCTGTTCTCTTGTGGGAAATGTTATTATTTATTTAACACTGTTTGTTTCTTTGCTTTAGGGTCCGGAAAAGCAGGAAGGTGAGCCTGCACATCATGAAGAAACGGGTGTCGTTGACATAACTTCCAAGGATAAAATGAGTAATGGCACTGCTAAACTTACTGAGGAAGACACACCTGTGGATACTGAGGTTCCTAAGTTGAAGGCTGATCGTTCTCACCGTGGTACTTCATCAACAACCAAAAATAAGAAGGAAACTTTGGACCCTCGAAAGAGCACCGAGCTCGAATCTCCTCGTAGTCAAACTACTGAGAAAAAGAGGGGACGGAAGCCCAGCATATTGTCCCCTTCATCTGATGCCTCTGAGGATACTCGATTTGCTAATGAAAAGGAAGATGTCGAACCCTCCAAGAGGAAAAGGCAGCGGCAGAGCAAGGGTTCGGAAAATGCTCCTTCTGACGCTCCACAGGGCAAGGAAGCGGCAGCTTCTTCTGTAACAGTGAAGAAGCCACAACTTCCTTCTCCATCAAGATCCAACAATGAAACTGCAGATGTTCCATCGCCTGCAACGGAGGCTTTGCCTTCAGAGATGGCTCGGCCTACGCGACGCAGGTCAAAAGTTAGCCAGAAAGATGATAATAAATTAGAATCTGATGTCTCAGTCACACCTGGTGAAGCAAAGGAAACTTCTACGGTGGATCATGGTGGAGATAAATCAAAGTTACCTAAAGATCCTGTTGACAAGGCACCCAAAATGAAGTCCAAAGCAGAAAGTGAAGGTGATGCTCATCCTGTAGTGAAGACATCAAAGCGTTCAAATAAAAAAGGAAATGCAAGTAAGAAGGAAAGTAATGATAAGAGCAGTGAGGAGAAGAAACCAGCTGGCGATTCGAGCTCCAAGGTGGTTTTGATTTCGTTTGTTTTGTCTTCATCATGAAGAGTGCATTTGTAATAGTGATTGATATAGAGTGTAATATGCCTTTGGAGATCCCTATTTATTTCTTTTGGTACTGCAGAAATTAGACTCAGCTTCCAAATCAACAACTGAATCAGCAAGCAAAGAGCGCACACAATCGGATGCCCCAAAAACAGCAAAAAGGAAAAGTAACGAAAAAGATGTGGTAACACTTCCAATCCGAATCACTCTTCCAGTCCGAATCGCTGGTTCAGTAATTGTTCGATTGTTTTGCCACGTGTTTTTGTCTCCCAGTTTGTCATGTGTGTTGGTTTTGGTTTTGTAATGAACTTTGGGCCATCCTTTACTCAGTGCATAGCTTAGTGAGATTACATTTTTGTTTTAGCAGTGACATTATTATTCTTGTGATAATGAGCCAGCATGACTTTTTATTAGTTAGCTTTCTCAGCACAACCATAACACATGCAGACACGCACAGACACAGACTTTCCCTTTTTCTGTTTATCTATATACATTGGGTAGCTATGATAATATGATACTTTTTTCAGTTTTATTTCATCTGTCATTCTATATTGGATGTCTCTGTGAGAATCTTACTGCAGGATGAGCATGACATATCAGGTCATGCCATCCATATTTTATCTCTTGCACTTGTAAACTGTTTCATGCCCAAATCATTCACATCATTTTGTTGGAGAATCTGTAGCATCTTGTCAATGTTTTTTGTTTCATATTAGTTTTCTTGTATAATCTATCATTTGCTTTGCTTTTGTATTCAAGTGCTCTTGTATCAACTTATTAAGTGTATTCTGTGAGGATTTTGCTCAAGATCTATTTTGCTTTGGTGCAACGTTTTTATTTTATGTTTTTGAAGGTGAAAGATACCATTTTATTTAGCACTGAGTTCATACAATGAAATCCTTCTGTATGCTAGTGTTGAACTGGTGGCTGGTTCATTGTGATTTGTAATTGTGCGACGTAGTTTTAGTACTGGATCTATGTTGTTGTCATGATATATATTACACGATATGTGAAATAATTGTTTCCTTTCTTGTAGACTCCTGCTGTTCATGGTGAAAAAGATATTGACGAGAGTCTTGTTGGGTCAAGGATCAAGGTTTGGTGGCCACGTGATAAACAGTAAGGGCTGACTTGCAGTTACTTATCTATTGCTATTGATTGGATCCTTGTGCATATTTCTCTGGCTTTCGTTTGTGTTTTTCTCATGGTCTTATGAGCAATATAATTTTAGAAAATTATCCCAATAAGCATATTTTAATGGCATCATGAGTTCTGAACTACGAAACAAAAAAAATTCAAGATGGTCACTCAAAGAACAAAAGAAACCATTTTGTTCTACGTGTAATTTTTCCTGGAGATGTTATATGTGTTGTATGTTCAGTCCTGAGTAGTTAAATAAGAAACTAATCTTTTCAAGAAAATTGGTTCGGGGACCCATGAACTGTCAGTTGATTCATGTAGTGAACTTCCCATTTTGGCCTCTGGTACTGTTTCCTGAAATATTATTTAATGTCCAATAATGAAAACATTAGGTAATATAATAGATCTTTGTTTGCAATTATCAAAAATGAAAAAAGATTTCTACTTGTGGCATGTCTATGTAGGTCTGCTTCCATTAAGATTTTGGTTGAAGGTAGCTCGGTGAATTCAGCGTACATTCTGTGGACTAGGCATAGTATTTCAATGATATGGTGACATTTGTGTTGTTTCGTATTATTTGTTTCCTTGGAATTCCTCCACGGTGCATTGAATTCTTGACGTGACTTGTTTCTTCTTGACATGGAAGATGCTAAGCTAATCAGGATTTTCATTTATCTGATTATACTATTCATTGACATTTGGATAGTGTCATCTAGCTGACAGTATTTGGATAGTCTCCATGATTCCTGGAATTTTGGTTGTGTTGTACGAGAAAAGTTCAAAAAGTTTTTAATTTTTTGTCGTTTCCTCATGCATATTGTTTTTGTTTTTGATTAATTGTCAAACTAGTACAATATATAAGTTTTTATATGTGATTTCATTATGTTTTGGACGTTAGCTTTTCTTTGCAATGCTGGCTTCTTGATAAAGTATTGCTATGGTAAGGAACTAATTCAGAGTGGTATATTGCAATGTTTTTTTCACCAAACTAACTGAAAAGTAAATTTTGGTGAAGAACTGATTCATTTGTTTGTGAAGAATTTCTTGATTATACAATTTCTGATGTTGACAATTTGGAGAAACTGTTGTTTCATGATAGGCTTATTTCACATAGTTCAGTGTTTTCATTTGACTCTATAAGTGGGGGAGATGTGAGGACCCATTCATTAATTGATTGATAAATGATCTATTTGTGTCAGAGATGGTGTGACTTATTTGAGTTAGTTGATTGCCGTTCTCTTGGATTAATAGTTTGCTCGACCTTGTTGCATTCAAAAATCAGATTTAGGTGCTGATAAGTAATACTACTAGCTTAACCCTTCTAAAAGAATCATAATTTTTTTCTCACCAACTGGATAGGGTTGGAAGATTTGTGTTGATGGCTCTATAGATTAGTGGGACTGATAGTATGTGGTTATGACCCATTGGAACCTATTGTGAAGATGTAAAAGATAGAAGCTTGTGGATTCCACCTAAAGTGGTACTGCTCCAGCATTCCTGCAGACTAATCTGCAGAAAAACACTGAGGTGGAGTAACAGGATGGGCTTATTTTTGTCAATGGCATGCTTAGGAGTGTGAGTGTTGCATATAAAAAGGCTTTTATATGTTTAAAAGCTCGTCTTGTTCTGTGCAATGTGCTGGAAGTTGGGTTCGCACCCTGGAGGTAGATCGTCAAAACTGGGAGTTAGGATGAAATGCAGTGTTAGAGGTCAAAGGCTTTTCGGGCTGGTGTTCTTGCTTTGATTTTTTGCTTGGTGATCTTGAGTTTGGTTACTAGTGGCAGTAGTTTAGTGAATATTTAGTGGTGAGAACAGTTTTTAGTGAAATATTTCACTTTAAGAAAGTAAAGAAGAGGTGAGAAGCGGGTTAGTCGGTTAAACATGAGGCTACTAGGTACTAGTGAAGATTTAGATGTGTGGGAGTAAAGCTTTTAATCGTTTGGGTAGATCTTGGGCACTGAAGCTTGTTGGCCTTGTAAGGAGGAATCCGAATATGCCCTCCTGTTTGGGTTTCCAAAGCTGAACTTTGACGACTGCGTGCTCAGAAATCCTGTTCTTTATTGTGGGATTGTAATTGGAAATTAATTTTGGCATATTGCGAAAGTAATTTGTAGGATTGATTCGGGTGTTTGTATACTGGTGGTGGCTTTAGTATTATTTAATTGGTTTAGTGTGTTCTTGGCATCCCTTTCCAAAGAATGTGGATTTGATGTTTTTGTTCCGTTCATCACATTGCACCTTACTTTGTAGTGTGTTTACTGTCCCTATCTCACATAGCGACAGAAGTCTCCAACAATAAAAGTTATTAATAGGGCCAGTTTGGATGCATGATCTAAGATTTTTCTCAATAGAAAAAACTGACGAGTTTTTCATGCTGAATTGGAAAACCCTGTCATTTTATTTTATTGCTCTTGGATTGTTTGGGAAGGGAAGGATCATAAAGTGGCAGATTTGGCATGAAGTAACTGGTAAAATGGGGGTTTTGAATTGGGTGAAATTGTCCTAATTACTGCAAACGTTCATCTCTCTAGACCCATTCTCTCTTGAATATATCCTGAAGTAGAGGAATCTCTCACCTTGCCCAACACATCTATTTTCTCTAGAGGAGGAATTCTCTCTTTAGATCCTAGAAGCAGAAATTCTCTATTTCTCTCTATTCAAACCCCACAAGCAGAATCTCTCCCCCTCTCTCTGTCTATCTATACAGGATCTCTCTATTTCCCTTGTTCTATATAACAGGTAAGACTTCATATTTCTCTCCCCCCCCCTCAAAGATTCGTTTAGAACGGATCTTTCGTTTAGAGGGTACCTTTCTGGTTCCAGTTCTCAGGGTTTCGAGGAAGAAGTAGCATATCCAGCTGATTTTGATTTTTGGGGAGGCAGGTTATTGGGTATCAAAGAATAGCATTTCACCACTGATTTTGAGTTTTAAGAAAGAAGTGATTCTATTTCCTAGAGTTTCGAGTGGAATGATGGTGCATGTGATAGCTGATTTTGATGTGTGTGCGTGTGTGTGTGTGTGTGTGTTTGTGTGTGTGAGAGAGAGAGAGAGAGAGAGCTCCTGTGATTCTATTCCCAGGGTTTTGGATAAGGAGAAGGATCGTAGCATATCTCTGTGAGAGAGAGAGCATGAGCTCCTGTGAACCCTTCTCTCAGTTTTTCTCTTGTTTCCCATTATCAAGGGATGTTGGGTGTGACAGAGAGATGCCCTGATAACTCGAAGTCGTAAAATAGCGAGCCAAAAAAAATTCTAGTTGGTAGAATTTTTCTGCACACCATTTTTTGGCATGAAATTGACACATTTTTTAATTTGTGTTAAAACATGCAATAATCAAATGTGTCCAAGTCCCCCACAAGATAATTATTTTGCTTCTCATCCAAAATAGCTAGCAGATTTGGGTCCGTATACATTTGGCTTAAGTATCTTTTCATCTCTCCCCTATATTATGTCTTTATTTGATAATGGCATGCTTTTCCATGTTTACCCAAGTTTATATCAATATTTGTAGAAATAGTTTAGAATATCGCTCCTTATGATGCAACTCATGTGCTTGTATAACTTTTGTTGCAGGTTCTATGAGGGTATTGTTCAGTCATTTGATTCGGAGAAAAAGAAGCATACGGTAAGTTGGTTGATATTGTAAAACTGAGCATTAATTACTTCTACTTTGTTTCTGTTGTGGATGTGATAGTTCTCAATGCTTTATAGGTAGCATATACTGATGGTGACGTCGAAGTACTGAAGCTTGAAAAGGAGCGCTGGGAATTAGTTGAAGCTGATGCTGAACCTGAAGCGGTATAGCCCTCGCCTCTTGTACTTGCCTTCTGGATTTTGATTTGGGTTCTGCCTGATAGCTGACCTCTTGTGACTTGTTCCAATATGCTAGCAGGGACCGGCAACTGCTGTTACATCTCTTGATGCATCTCCTGTAACGTAAGTCTTCATGCTATCTGTGGTGTACCATTCAACATTTTCATTTTGAAAAAATGGCATATTTTTTTTCCCTTTTCTCTTTTTTTGATAATGTTAACTGTTTTATTGAAAGAGAAGAAAAAGTGCAAGGGTCCAGAGAGAGCGCCAACATACTGGGCCTCTCGGCAAAAAATAAGCTAACCTTAGTCAAATAAGCGTATACAAAAAATGAGAGGGGCTTATAACATTGCTTGATACAAAGATGTACACAAGTTTTTTTTTCCTTTTTCTTTTTTAGCCAAAGTAATACTTCTTTTGAAACAGCACGACTTTATAAGGGGGCTTCCAGCATTATAAACGATTGCAACATTTTCAAAAATATTGTTGATGGGTAAAATAAGGCTAGCATGAGGTTCCCCTGCATTCATTTTGCATTGTTTACCCATCTTTCCATTTGGTACTCTTAATGCGTTTCATGCATACTACTGTAGTCCTGAAGCATCTTGGTTGTCGGTGGAGAAAGAAAACATGAGGTTACTAACTGGTTCTCGAAGGTTCCCTGACCTCCTTGGCCACCCCTGCATTTCCATTCCATCCAAACATTTAGTACTTTTTTACTTCATTACATCTCCTGCTGCTGAACTATGAGATGTTGTGGTCCTTTTTCTCTCTCACATCCACCACCAGCTACAGTCTTAATTAGAAGCCATTCCTAAAAATCCTGTAGCTTGATGGGACCCAAACATGTTTTGAATTTCTCTAACTTACCTAAATTTCATCGTACATATTTGTTGTTCAATAGTAGTTACTTATGTTAACTTTTATCAAAAAAAAAAACTAGTTTCTTAATAGGTAGGGGATTCAAAGTCGAAATGATTGGTTGAATCTGAAAGCTCTGAAATCTATGCCACCAGGTCGATAACTGTTTCATTTTAGTCTTTTCAACTTCTGAATATTTATGATGAGTCCCTTTTCATAAGCTTTTCCCCACTGTATTTCTCTTCTCAAGCTGGTCCATTCATGCTTGCAGTAAATGGACATAGGACTGTGCTGCTAAGTAGAATAATTTGCTATTCTCTCTCGATTAAAGAAAAAGTTCTCTGAAGGATTGCTCTTGCTGTCAGCTCATGGTTGTTCTCTGAAGGATTGGACAATTTTTTTTATGCTGTTTTTCTTTTTTGGATTTGAAAATAGAAATTCCACTCAATTGTCATTGGTATTTCTCTAGCTTTCTTTTAATGGCATCTCTGTGGATTTTGATCAGGCCTCCTCGGAAAAGGTCAAAGAAGAATGCAGGTTCTTCAGTCAAAGAGGTCAAGACAGAAGCTCCAGTAAAAAGGTAAGAGAAGATTTTACTTGATGGATAACTATCAGCATTATTTGTGGATTCAATTATTGTCGGACTCGGAATAGTGGTTCCCATCCATGTCTAGCCCTTCTTGGCTGAATTTCTGCATGTTTTACTTTGTGGATTTGTGAAATTTTTGTTTTGATCAACTGAAAGTTGGGTATTTTTTGTTCCCTGAAACTGATTTCTTGTATTTGGTTGAGATGCTGTTGAAAATTTAGACAAAGTAGCATTTTCTTCTTGCTGATTTTCCTTTATCCATATGAACCAAATTACTGCTAATCAATCCTAATTTTGGTAATGTTTGTCCCGATCCTATGATTGAAATTTTGCAATTTTCATCTCCACCCCCTCTCTCTCTCAAATATAGAAGCTCTTGGTTAGAATGAATTTGGCTGAAATTAACCTGAAATCTGAGTTCTGATGAACTTTGGCCCCTAGGACTGAAAGTTCGTCTGGAAAACAAAGGGGTGGTGCTTCTCGGTCCGGTGAGAAATCCAACACAAATGGCTCTTCTTCAGCTAAGGGCAAGCCTGGTTCATCCAACAAGAAACCAGAGGCCATTGACTCAGCTACTAGAAAGGTTACAACACCAATCAACTCAGCCATCAAGAAGCAAGAGAGCAATAACTCAAACACTAAGAAGCCTGCCATTGAGAACTCGGAATCTAAGAAGCCTGGAAGAAAGAAGGGAAGCGGCTCTGCCATTAAGCAGGAGAGCAATTCTAGTGATAAGAAGCAAGAGGGAAGCTCAAGCAACAAAAAGGATATTGATTCAACTGATAAGAAACAAGAGAGCAATTCATCGACCAAGAAGCAAGAGAGCACATTGGTCACGAAGAAGCAAGAGAGCGCATCGGCCACCAAGAAGCAAGAGAGCACATCGGCCACCAAGAAGCAAGAGAGCACATCGGCCACCAAGAAGCAAGAGAGCACATCAGCCACCAAGAAGCAAGAGAGTGTGCCAAAGTCTAGTGGGAAGAAGAGACAGAGGAAAGCCTAGTTTTACTAGTGAAGGCTTTTATACACAAGCTGGAAGATACTTATGGCCCTGCTCGCCCACTGTTCCCGGAATATGTGGTATCTAGTCTCCTCCCTTGAATTCTTTTTTGTGGGTGCTGCATATATTAACCATTTCTCTCTCTCTCTCTCTCTCTCTCTCTTTTCTCTCGTTCTCTCTCCCTAATACTGTGCACACCCGTGTTGTGTATGTGTTGACAGGATAGGATGTAGATGATGTGCAAATGGGTTGGGGAGGGGGGGGTTCTCTTTTTCTCTTTTTCTTTTTTATCCCCTCTTTATTCTAGCTGAGTGTGTTTTTTTGAGATTGAAACCACACAAACTTTTAGATGCATGGGTCCTAAGGTTGATGTCTTATTTTTATGGCAATAGGCATTAGCACTCATTTTTGTTACACTCCCATCTGCTCTCTTGTTTTCTTCTTTTGCATTTTGAAGATTCCCCTTCTGTGCGCTGTGTGCGAGAGATGAGTTTGCATTTGTTTTGGCGGAGGGTCCAAATGAACAATCTGGACCTTTGGGTCGGCTTGTACTAATATGAATATGCTAGGGCGGCGATCGAAACTCGCCTTAAAAGAGTGATAGAGGGATCAAGAGGGGGTCAAAGTCCTCTCTGCACTGTCCTTGTCCCTGCCGTTTTTCTCTCCACTGTTAGTGGTGCATCTTTTGCCTTTGACTCGAACCCAAAGGGTTGCTCTTCTGTAACCCCTTATTTTTACTTAGTAAGACCACTAAAATGGTCAAACCACTTCAAAATTTCAGTGCGTAGACTAGAAATAAAGTGCTTAATATCTTTATACGGTGTGAACCTTATACTATCGAAGTAAGGTGCCCCTCAAAACTATTGCTGAAAATGCGGTTTCGGTGCTGCAAAGGTTGGCGATGATAAGAAAATCTATTGTTGTTCCCAATTATGAAATTTGAAGTTTTAAAGATGGTGATGATTAAGCAAATCTGTAAACACTTGAAAATATTGAAACTAGATAGTCATATGATGTGGTAAAAGATGTGAATTATTTGTGGTAATGGAATTTTTTTATTTTTAATGTTTGTTAATCACGATGATTGATTTGAGTTACACTTTATATGAACCAAAATAATTGGTTAAAAAAAATGTCCAAATTGTTTTTGTTTAGGAGTTGGAACTTTGGATTTGTAGGGGTAAATCGATTATGTAAACAGTCAGCTCGACCTTGACTTGGACTTGACCCATCGAATCCTATGGGTGAGTTCGGACTTGGAATTTGGTACGGCATGTTGACCGAATTGTTCATTACACTCAATTTAGAAATTGGGCTTCACTTAAGTACACATGTGCCTCCTCTTCTTGGGGACAAACAATAATTAAGTTCTTTTAATCGAGGAAAAGTATATAATGAAACCATTTATCTTCGGCACAAGGTGGTCATAATTAATCTTGCACAAGGTGGTCATAATTAATCTTGACCATTGAATGTGAAATTGGGGGGTTACATTTATTGTATTGATTAAGTTCAAAGTTCAAAAGAATTTCTGAATGTGAAATTGGGTGGTTGCATTTATTGTATTGATTAGGTTTAAAGTTCAAAAGAATTTCTTTAGAATGTTGCAACACATTTAGGCAAATAGTCTCTTTGTATAGAAACCTTTTAATTAAATGGTTTTGTACACAATGAGACTTTCAATTTTATAATTAAAGGTAAAAATATAGTTATTATAAAGATTTTCAGTCTTGAAATCACATTTCTTAACACTGTTTAAAGGCGTGTTCTATTTTGATTGTTTAGAGCTTTGGTTCTATATAAACCGTACCCTTAATTCAAACCTCGTCTTGGGTTCAAGAAGAGAATTTCATTTGGCTTAGGACAAGTGGATTGATTTGGATCATCATTTGAAAAGTACTTTGGACATTGGAAATCTTCATGGTGGCTTTAAAATCAATTTTTATCATTGATTATGAAATTTGAAGTTAAAAAAATGATATAAATCTTACAAGTATGTGAATACTTATTTTTAGGGTGAAATAAACGGTTTAGATAATATGTATGTACATTACTTTTAAGGTATAAAGTCATTTATTTTATTTTATTTAATTTAATTTTTATAACCATAATGAGTAAGGCCAAATGATTGATTTGAAGGTTCTCCAACGGTAAAACTTAGTTTTCATTAAGTTTTGAAGTGAGGTTTTACTTGTGGGGTTGTATACTATGAGACTTTATTTTTTGTACAAGAAGGTCACAATTTTTTTTAGCCATTGGATGTGAAATGTAACATATTAAAATATACCATAGCTTTTGAGAAAATTTGTTTTGGACTCTGTGCTCAAGTAGTGACACGTCACCACCCATTTGATTTCACATCCAAAGGTTGATAATGATTGCGACTTTTGTGTAGCAAAAGTAAATAGTGTCATGCATTTTCTTTACTTAATTGACATGGCTATCGCCCTATCAAAATATTTTCCTTTTTATTATTAAAAAATCAATTGTCCTGCTGTCGCCCTATCAAAATATTTTATTTTTTATTATTAAAAAATCAATTGTCCTGCTGTGAAGAGGAGGCATTTATGTTATTTAAATCAGGTCAGTTAACTGGGTAAAGTATTTGACGTATCCCTACTTATTAGGTTCCAAAGTAATTGACATATCACTACTTATTAGGTTCCAAAAGCGAAATAATTGGAGAGGTACTTGATTGAAAACAAATTTATAACATAACCACTCTACCAACTTGGTTGTTCCTCATTTTTCTGAAGTGGTTTGATCGTTTTCCCTGTTTTATTTGTGGTTATTCTTGTTTTGTGTCGAAGCTCAATAATGGAATACGGAATGCCTTTCTTCTGTAGTTTCTCATATTCTACTATTTTTGGTCATTGTCCCAAATGTTTGATTTAATGCTCAAAAAAAAAAAAACGGTTGATTTAATACCATGTTTGGCCGCCAATGATTGACTTCAAAAACTGCATTCTATTAACCAGTTTTTTGAAATCGGATGAGAAAGTTGGGCGATTCGGGTTAATGATCCTTAAAATCACCCAGTTTTGCATTTTCCCTAGTTTCGACCAATGAGTAATGATTCTATAGCACCCTTCCTCACCCATGTGTGTAGGACTTCAAAGGATCACCATTAAATTTGACATTGATATTTAGAAAAGTCAAGTCCCACACCTATGTAATAACTTTTCTAAATATTTGTGTCAAATTTAATGGTGATCTTTTAAGGTCCTACACACATGGGTGGGAGATGGTCCTATAGGATCATTTCTCATATACATAACTTATCGAACAGTTGAACAATTTACCAATTTTCAACTAGTCCAAGTATTTTGAAATTAAATCAAAAGATACGGATAAAATGCTAAAAAGTTGAGCTAATGTGTGCTTTTTGTTAAATTTCCTTTAAAACATTGATATTAAAAGTTATAAGCGTCATTTTTTTCTTCTTTTAGTAAATGCAAGTATTTTGTTTTCTTCTTTTAGTAAATGCAAGTAATTTTTTTTGCAAGTAAATGCAAGTATTGCTTAGCAAGAACTTAGGTTATTATTTTTTCTTTTGATAAATGTAAGTATTGGAATTCGTGGTTGTTTGGGTACTAAATTCGTAACTGCAGCCACTGTTGAATTATTTTCAAGTAGATTACTTCTAAGTGGATGTGATGATTGTAATAAATACCTTTAGACAAACGAAAAACCTGCCAAAAGATTATGTGCTTACGGACTCTTATTTTAGAAAAAAACTATTTTCTTGTTACTATTTTCTTTTTTTTTTTGCTACAAATAAAAAGATTAGAACTTATCATTTTGATGAAAACACAAAACTCATTTTTTTTCAATTTTTTTTGGATTTTTTGATGATCAGAACTTATCATTTTGATAAAAACACCTAAAGGAATGTTGGATTTTTTGAAATCAGTTAAAGACTTGGAGTTTTTAAAGTTTTTCTTGCAAACCTATAAAATATCAAAATTTTCCTTTTCAAATTTATTTATTTATAAGTTTCTACCTTCTTGTAATGCCTCATTTTAAACTTCATTCAAAATTTTGTCCTCTTTTTTTATTTGAACTGTTTGAGTTTTGATTTTGAGATGAGCTTACAAAAGTGAGATTCAATCATGAATCTTAATTTAACAAAACATTTTTTTAAAAATTCATTAACATATTCCTATGAATAAAAAATAGTTATTGATTAAGGAAAAGAATCACAAGAAAACATATTCTAAAGAAAAAAAAAGAAAAAGAAAAAAGAAATAAAATCTTAGTTAGGGGAAGAGCAGCCAAGTAAAAACTCTTTCTTTTTTTTCTAAAGCAAACGCATTATTGCCAAGAGGGAGCGAACGTAATTGATTCAATCACTACTAAAGATTCAAGAAGTTGGGAATGAAGGGTGAGGTTCAAACATGTGGGTTTCATTGGTCTACAAAATACAAAACTTTGGAAGGACCATTCTTCCTCGTATTGGTGATAAAGGGGCAAAAAATAAGAACAAACTAGTCGAACTCCCTTATTGTTTTAGATACTCAAAGTGTTTCCTCAAGACGATATTTGGCCGTATTCAATACTGTAAATGATGTGCATAAGAAAAGGTAATTAGTCATCGATATACCAAAAATAGAAGGTCTCTTGCAGTAATTTTAAGTTTTATGTAATAAGAATGATAATGATATAGAAAGATACGATCATTATCTAGAAAATTATGATCATGATAAGGATTAACATGATAAAGATTATCATGTTAATCCTTTGCTGTAATCTTCTCTTTCTATATCTGTACAAATTTGCTGTAATCAAATCTTGGATTGAGTCAATCAAGGGTGCGTACATAACTATTATAAATAGAACACACATCCCTCTCTATGGGCGTGGAGAATTTGACACAAATATTGTTCTCTTCTTCATGGTATTAGAGCCAAGGTTCCCTCAATACTTTCGCAAGTCTCTATTTTTTATTTAATTCAAATACATTATATTCTCTCTCTAAAATAATACAAGCCCAATTTTTCTCGTCTCTTTCTCTGTCTCTCTCTAAAAAAAACAAATTTTTATTATCTCGTCCCTCAAGTAAATTTTTTTTTGCTTTTTGATCGTCCTTCATAAGTAATTTTTTTTTTTGCTTGTTGATCGTCCCTCAAAAAAACTTTTCTCTCGTCTCTCAATAAAATTTGCTCTCGTTCCTCTCAAAATTTTCTCTTGTCCCTCACAAAAAATTTTCTCACATCCCTCTCAAATAATTTGCATCATAAATTTCAGCTCTCATCCCTCAAAAAGTTTTTAGCCTTCCTGATGGTTCTACATTAGAGGCCCCTAAGTTTTTCCTCTCTGATAAAGATGTTCCTACTTCGGAATATGAACAGTGGTACACTCATGCTTAACTCATCATCGTATGGATCAACTCTACGTTATCCCTTGATATTTTGGC